CATTCTGGGCATTTGGGAGGGTCTATTGAGGTTATCTTTTAAAAACACTTCTAAACACAAACGCACATAAACACGGTATGCAAACGTGGATAAACTGACGTTTTTTAACCTACGTTTTCCAGCAGTCAGGTTCCATCGTTCAGACGAGTTTCCAAACGCCCCGTGTACATGAGCCCTTAAAGTAGATGTAACCTCTAACTCTGCATTTCGCAATCTATGTAACATGGAGAAACCTTTGAAATAGCTTCCATATCTCAGGGAGTCCCTGCTAATAATAACTGTACCTACAGCTCAGGGGACATTGGTGAGAAAAGTAAGTTGGTATCAGGGGCGGACTGACAACTCATGGGGCCCCCGGAAAATAGGGGATCATGGGGCCCCTGTGTCCTTGCCCAAATTCAAAAAAGCCTATGAAAAAGGTACCAGGAGCATCTCATGGGGCCCCCTACTGACCCGGGCCCTCAGGCAGTGCCCGATTTTCTAAATGGTCAGTCTGCCCCTGGTTGGTATATAAAAATAAATTAAACTTACATTGGTGGTCAGTGAATAACCCGCTTTACAGGTGATTAGAGCAGAGCTTCCTTAGATTGATAGTCATTGGAGACACTGGTCACAGCCTGGGTCATCTTCTGATTAGTCTGTTGCTCAGCCATTCAAGTTACTTGTAACTGTGCTGTCATATAAAGTTGAAGGACAAATGTTTTACTGGGAGGATGCTATTGAAATATTAGAACCACCAGTCCACTCTCAGTGGACAGCTGCTTTTACAAAGGGCCACTATCAGTTTGCTGTTGCATGAAGGCCTGGGATATTTAGCTGGTTTTGGGTATCCTTTGCCTTAAACCTCTTTCCACAAGTTACTGAGCAAATAAATCTTTAAACCCTAGAGAGCCTGAAGCCAGACTGTCATTAGTAATAGGTTAGTGTTGTTGGGGGCAGCTACAGGGTGGGATACCATCAGGAAGGCTACAAAGGCCTGTAAAATCCATCCACTCCTGCGGAGGTGAGTTCTAAACATTAAGCTGTTCACACTCAGAAAACGTAAAAGATTTCTTTAAAGTTATATAATGTAATGTCTTAGGTTTACAGTGTACATCCCTCCTAGATTGTAAGCTCGAAAGAGCAGGGTCCTCGAACCCCTCGTGTATTGTATTGTTACTGTCTTGTCTCATGTTCTGTCCCCCTTGCTACTGTACAGCGCTGAGCATACCCTTTGGCGCTATATAAATACTGTATAATAATAATAATAATAATAATTGCAATAAACATGAATTTGAGTCATTTTTAGCGATTTTTGTTTCTACCTTTTCATTTAAAAATAAGTATCCACTGATATACAGTTTTCCTCTCTTGTAATCCTGTTTTCTGATTCTTGAACAAAATAATCAATGTTTTAAACTGAGCACTCTTCTGTCTTTTGTTTAATACAGTAGGAGTTATTTAGAAACTATCAAATATGTGGAAAGAACAGAGATAGAATAGTACTGAATATATCATCCTGTTTACAAATATCTGCTGCTGCTTAGATATTGGTGTTCCAGAATTGCTATACCCTTATCCTCCTGCTGAGTTAAGAGTGTGGATATTCTGGTTATTAAGAATCTGTCAGGAAACTAATACTCAACTAATGCTTGTGCACCTGTGCCAGCACGCAGATGGCACATACATCTGTGTGCATTGGTGCATGCCCAATCCTGGGAATGGCGCCAAGATGCCTATCTAAATGAGACCCTGATGTATGTGTAACGCCCTCCAGTGTACGTAGATAGGTTTTTTAGTGTATAGTTAGAGGCTTTCTAGAAGCCTGGGTATGATTCAGCCTGGGAGTAAGTCAGCAAGATTATTTGAGGACCCTGATGTATGTGTAATGCCCTCCAGTGTAACTAGGGTTTTCTTGTGTATAGTTAGAGGCTTGCTAGAAGGCTGGGTAAAATTCAGCCTGGGAGTGAGTCAGCGAAGTTATTTGAGGTTAGGCTGAGGGGCTCTACAGGTCATTTCTCTGATACCTCCCCCTGCTCTAGAAACTTGTAGAAGTTTCTAGAAGCCAGTAGGCGGGAGTGAGGAGGGGCTGATCTACATACTTAGGGGAATCTGGCCAATCCCAGGCAGGTGGCCTGGCATGGTGGCTAGGCCAACCCCTAAATATGAGAGAGTCTGGTCAGCAGGGGAGTTGGGTGGAAGATGGAGTGTGGATGTGCAGCTGTTGTGGGGCCTGGGAGAGGGAGATCTGCCCACAGGCTGGATGCTGGAAAGAAGGACCTTCACTGTCCCACAGTCTATTGGGGAAAGACAGCCTGTCAGCAGGGAAGTAGCCAGACCAATGTAAGGCCTGAAAGCAGCTTGAACCTTTAAAACTACAGGAAAAGGACAGTGTGAGTACTTCTACACCCAATCAAATGCCAACAAATGTGGGTGATGATGTTTGGCATGCAATTAAATAAGCAGTGACACAGAGCATATGTAGGAGTGCTCACACATTCACAGAGATAAAATAAACTGTTAAAATAAGTCCTGAAGGTTAACTAGACAAGTATGAGCAGTAAACGTCTCTGGCTAACAATGCCAGTGGAGCCAAGGCTTCCTCCTGAAGCAGGCTGAGAACCCAGACACTGGAAAAGAGAAAAGGATGGGAGGAAGAGGGGCCAAGCAACCGATAGTGTAGCACAATTTTTATTCAGAAAGTTGCAATTATGCAATAAAATTCACTCACAAAATGTCCAAAGGAACTGTCATATACAGCTCAGTGTGAAGCAACCAAGTCAAATTCCATCTGTGTAAGAGCTGCTCAGATGTCAAACTGCTGCAGGGAAGCATGCAGGGAGTCGGGAAGGTCAAACTGTTAGAGAGCTATTAGACCTGTGGACGTAGTGGCCAATCAGGAACGCATTTCGGAGGCTAAGCCATGCTTCCTTCATCAGCCTGATAGTCAAGGTGAACCTTGGGGAGCTAAACACTGGCTGCAGTTAACCCAACGAAGCACAGAAGAAAACTAAGGGATGTGGAGAGAGCTTCAGCCGAAGAATACAAATTGATACAAAGTTGTCTCTATAAATAAAAAAACAGTGCCAGACACTAAACTGAACCAATTGTCAAAGTACAAGAATAAACATGAACTCTATATTTATATATCAGTTTTTCTAATTTTTAATGAGATGATTGTAGCTCTATTAGTACATTTGCAACAGACCTTGAAGAAGGGGACATACCCCGAAAGCTTGTCCTCAAAATTGTATGTTAGTGCAAATAAAAAAAGTATCACTGACAGTACTCAATTGTTTCTAATTTTTAAAAAATATTTAGAAAAATATATATATTTTTTTAAAATAGGAATTTCATACTTTCATCTCTACATGGGCACGCTGGAAGCCATTTTGTTCTTTTTAATTTATTTTCATGCTTTCTGAACAAACGTTCTAACAGCAGACATTAACAGTTTCTTACTGCATACTTTCTCAGGTTATAAATTTTGGGGGTTATGGAGGTGCCGGACAGCTACAAGATAAAGACTAGACATGATACCAAGTTGCAAGATTAATGAATAAGTCCATCTCTGGATATAACAAAAGACAAAAATCTACTCACCATGATTTTTTTTTTCCATGAATGTGTGGAAAAGAGTTCATATTAAACTTTACAATGCATATGGTGTTTAGTATTAGTTAACAGGAGTATTTTAACCAAAAATGTCAATTGTATTATTATTATTATTGCATGAAGGTAATGCTTACTTAAGTGATTTTGGTTTTATATTACATTATTCAAATTCCATATGCACATATAATTTATCTATATTAATTAGTTTTAACAATTAATACACATTGGTGTATATTATGGATATTATGTTTTCAACATTATAAATATTTAGTTTGAGTTCATAATATTATAACGTCTGTATGGAGGCACTGCCAAGATAATAAGGTAATACATCAGGTAATACATTATTTTCAGTGACATTGGTACCAGTTAGTCTGAACAAGCCCTGTCAGAATAGCAGTTATCTCCTCATATTTAGAGTTTTCTTACTAGTTAAAGGTCATCCTTTGACATGACACAGATGGTGGTAGATGGAATGTAGAAAAAATCCTAAATCATTCCTAATGGTATACTGTCCCCTTCAGGTAATTAGGAAAGAAAATAACACCTAGTGTGAACTCATAATTAGGCGAGATAAGCTTTGCCTGCCTAGGGTTTTTGGGGGATAAAACTTAGGAGACGGCGGTAGACGGGCACAACACATCACAAGACAAGACAGGAGACAAGGGAGAACAGACGGACATACACACACTGCAGTGAGCTGACTGAATGCTGAAATTATTGACAATATAGAGTCCATATTGGCAACTATAACTTTCATTTTTCTTTCTCTAACTTGTACTCTCCCTTATATCTCCAGCTAAACTGTGTAGTTTGATGTGAAATAATTTTAACTTCAGTATAAATTTATTTAATTTCAATTCTCTGGGGGAAAGATTTTATTTTAAATATCCCCAAAGCTAATTTTAACTTCTAGTCAACATTCTAACCACTTGCCTTCCAGAGGATTTACTCCTTCCAACAGGCCATTTTTTGTGATAAGGTTACTTTAACTGACAATTGCGCGATCATGCAACGCTGTACATAAATTATATTTATGTCCTTTTTTCCCCCACAAATAGAGCTTTTTTTGGTGGTATTTGATCACCTGTGCATTTTAAATTTTTTGGCTATAAACAAAAAAAGACCGACAATTTTGAAAAAAAAAAACCACAATATTTTTTACTTTTTTACTTTTTGCTATAAAACATATCCAGTAAAAAAAAAATAAAAAAAATTAAATTTTGTCATAAATTTAGGCCAAAATGTATTCTGCTACATGTCTTTGCTAAAACAAAATCCCAATACATGTAAATTAATCGGTTTATGTGAACGATATAGTGTCTACAAATGGTGGTATATATACTAGAATTTTATTTTTTTTTTATACTAGTAATGGTGCTGATCGGCGACTTATAGCGGGACTGCGGGACTGTGATGGGCATTCTGACACTGGGTGGTAACTGACTAACTGCCACTGACATCCCAATTACACTAATACAGTGATCAGTGCTAATAAAAAGCACTGATACTGTACTAATGACAATGGGCAAGAAGAGGTAAACATCTAGGGTGAACAAAGGGTTAACAGTGTGCTGTTTTACATAATGTGCTGTGTGTGTTTTACTAGGGAAACATGCTGCTGTGTATTTCTCTGCTGTGCAGAGAAATACACAGCAGCATGTTCTTGCTGGCAGGAGAGAGACTTGTGTTGTTTATACACAGGTCTCTCCCCTATCAGTGTTACTCGGCGATGGCCGGGTGCCAGCAGGGAATCTCCAGCTGGGACCCAGTGATTGACATCTGTAGAGGGTAGGGCAGCGCGCGTGCGTGCATGCAGCTCCCCCTACCCAGAAATGAAAATCACATATATATATATGTGATTTTTTGCAGCCCTGTCTTCAAATTAGCGCAAATAAAGAATTCCTTAATTCTATATCCCCGCCTGTTTTCAGAAATTATATACTGATTATTTTCTCAGAACTAAAGTTCTGACACTCCATCAGTGCTTACAACAGTCTGGAGACAACTGCTACCTGCTATTTGACTACTGGCTACTGGCACCCATGCTACTTTGTCCTCTTTTCTCCTGTCTCCACTCTCAATTCTCAGGTACTAAAAATGTACCATAGAGAGTATCATTTTTCCATTGGCTTTGGTGGAATTAGATGAAGCCTAGCTAGAGCTGAAATCTATAGACAAGAAATGGTCTGAGATTGCATTGAATGTAACTTTCGTTGGCCCAGGGAATCAGGTTTTATAACCTCTTGGTTTGTTATCTTAAAACATGCCTATTAATTGTACATGGGGATTAGTAGCTGTAGCACAAAATTTTAATTTGTGTTTATTATAATAACTTATTTCTTATAATTACCTCTCCCTGAAGCAGATATTCAGGTCTGAGTAATAATTACTATGGGGGAGGGAATCATGCTAATTTACAGGGAAGTGGGGATAAGGCAAATGTTTAAAATTTGCCTCTTTGTATAAAATCTGGAGAGAACGCATTTTGAAAGATGAGTAAAATTGAGAGTCTTCACTTCCCTGAAATTTCAGGAAAAATTGTCAGATTTCAGTAAAGTGTCACAATTTCGACTAAATGCATTGGAGTGATAGGGAAGACAAAACAGTTACAGTAGTCAAAACTTGCAGCTTTAAAGATGGCTTTAAGGAGGTAAAGCATTTTAAATGGTGCCTGAGAGTTATGGAACCTCTCAGTATCTATCCTGGACTTGTTCTCCCCTCATTGGTCCAATTGTTTACATTTTTTTCACACAAAGAAAAACTACACAGATTGAAAAGAAATTGAAACATTTAAAGTGACCATGCACAAATATTGTCCAAATACACAAAAAAGAATAATAAAACACAGATGCAAAATGCACCTAATAAATTATATAAAACTCCCCTCCCAAAAAAAAAAAACCACACCTGCTAAATAAGGAAAGAAAAACAGAATAATATCATATATTAAAATAGAGTGCAGGCAGAGTAATACTTCTATGTCTTGACTTTCGACAATTAAATTATTTAATATTTTAGGAGTCCACTCTTTATTGGCGTTACCACATATTATAATAGTGTATGACAAATAGTAAAAAAAAATAATAAGCCAAACATTCTAATGACTTAACAGATATAAGAAGCAATATAGTAAAAAAATGTATAACTAATTATCAACTAACAATACACCTTTAAATGAACGTAACAGTACACAGGGCTAAACAAAATACTTTTACAGCTTAAGATGATGTTTTGGGTTTAATGACATTTTAACAATCATCAACAACCATATCAAATTCCCCTTTATTAATCATTGGTCAAAGAAAAGTTTATATCTGTTTCCAAATTGATTCTCTGTGGCTGTAATGTATCCAATATATAAATCAATGATGTTTCAATATTGGAAATGTCCCTTTTCAAATTAGCCCCCCTCCATTTTATAAAACTTCTATTTATACAATAACATTTTAAACCACTTGGGACCTCTAAAAAATCTCTAAAAAGTTCTAAAACACTATGATTTTTATAAGCCTTTGTAATATTATTTACGTGTTCTCTAATGCTTTGGTGCAATCTCTTTTTTTGAACATATCACATACTGAAACCCACAAGGGCACTTCAGGACATAGATAGCATGGATAGTATTACAGGCAATAAACTCTTTAATACTTTTCTCTTTCCTGTTGTTCTAGAAACAAATTGTGATTTTTTTTTCTTAACACTAGAAGTTCTGCATGGCGTAAACTTTTTACAAGGGTAAAAGCCAAAGCCATCAAACAAAGTCATTTTGTTTTCTGCTTGGGACTGGGAATCATTATATTGGGAACCAATTTCTTCCCACGTTATTGGGCATTTCTACAAATAGCAATATGAAAATGTGCCAAAATTACATAAATAAATACTTATACAATTCACCCCATAAAGCAACTATATATCAATATTCCAAAGAAAATTAAAAAAGTAAAAAAAGTCCAAAAAAAAAGTCCAAGCAAAATTAATATAAATCCAAAAAATTCCAAAAAAATATAAAATAAAACTGAGAAATCCTTCCAATCCTTCCTTTCTCATGATAAACCTCAAACAAAAAGAAAAATATCACATAGTGTATTATCTTTATAATATAATGAAATATTCATGACAACACTCTGGTGATTATCCAAATGAAAATATAATTTATTTTTTAGGTAATTAGTGTAAAAAGTGAATCAACATAATTAATTAAAAAATCTATAATAAATTAGTGCAAAACACTGTGTACTGTGAATCACTCTTCCAGTGCTCCAAAAACAAATCCACACTGTGCCACTTCTATTATAGTAAGGAATATATACCCCTTACCAACACTCCTCAATAAACCTGCTTTCAATATTTATCCTATGGATGGGATCCTCCTAAAGTGCTCCCCCAGATTCCACTGTATTCAGGGCACTATTCCAGCAGGATTTTCCATATCTCCATATCATTGGCACCATATAGATAGAAATCATATGAGGGACAAATAGTGTAATACCGCCAAAGTAATGTACAGAGAAACTTTATTAAAACTGCTCACATTTAAAATGATTCAAAACCGCTTTTAAATACCGTGAAAACCGCCAAGCTACCATCCAGGGAACATCCAGGGACCAACACACAGTCTTTATCCTCTTTTTCCCTTTTGCAAAATGGCCACCGGTCGACTTCCGGTTCCTGTATGCGTCTTGACGTCACAGCCCTTGACGCGTTTCGTCATCGCGTTATGATTAAGTCATCGACTCAAGGGCTGTGATCCCTTATGATTAAGTCGATGACGAAACGCGTCAAGAGCTGTGACGACGCATGGAGAGTTGTCATGAAAGTGGGTTTGTTTTTGGAGCACTGGAAGAGTGATTCACAGTGTTGTCATGAATATTTCCTATTATATTTTCATAAAGATAATACACTATGTGATATTTTTCTTTTTGTTTGAGGTTTATCGTGAGAAAGGAAGGATTGGAAGGATTTCTCAGTTTTATTTTATATTTTTTTGGAATTTTTTGGATTTATATTAATTTTGCTTGGACTTTTTTTTGGACTTTTTTTACTTTTTTAATTTTCTTTGGAATATTGATATATAGTTGCTTTATGGGGTGAATTGTATAAGTATTTATTTATGTAATTTTGGCACATTTTCATATTGCTATTTCATATCTTCAAGGGTGAAGGTTTTATTTGTGCTATGGGGAATTAAGTTTTGTTGTATATTGGTTTTTCTAATTTGTCACTTATTATATTTGAGGAAGTGGTAGTTATAGATACATTTCTACAAATAATCTGTGTTTTTGTGGGAGCATAGGTCCAGTCACCTTATCTCTTGGAATGCTAGGACAATTTTTTTAAAAATGTTCTCAGTTTCTTTGTACTGTATACTAATATTAGTAATAAAAAAGAGTGAAAATCATCTTTAATATTCTCTCCTCCCCTTAGTATATCTTCCTTACCATCCCCTATCCTGTTCAGCAATTTCCTAAATCTTTTTTGTAAACCCCTTATCTTCACATTTCCTAATTATATATTTTTTTTTCACATAATTATATATTTCTGTACATGCTGAAATACTTTTTAGCCTGGCAAATGAAAACTAATGCAGTCACCACATCTAACACTGACCATACACTTATAGATTTCTTTAGTTTAGCCTGTGGATTAAAAGAAATCTAACAGATTCCTCAATCCATGCTAAACAATGTGAATGGAAAAACCTCCTGCTGTGGTCATTGTATTTTGACAGCCAGTGCAGACATCTGTCAAAATACCTGTAGAGTGGCAGCATCTGGTTGGATGCAGGTGCTTTTGGCTGCCAATAATCCATCTGGATCCTTCAATTTTTCAACCAAAGGATGTTTACTGGTGGTGCCAACAGGGCCACCCATGGAGCGAATTTTGACCAGGAACCTATAAGCTACAGTATATGAAATTTATATTTTTGGCTATCCAGGAATTAGGATGTCTGCAACTATAGGGATTAATATCTTGTAGTGTTTTTTTTTCCCTGACTATTTAGGTATAAAATGAGGCCAGCACATGATCTACGTTTCTTTGGTCAATTTAAATGTTTGACTGAAGTACACTTTTAACGTTTCAACAATGAGTTTGTAACATTTGCATTTACAATACTCAGTGACTAATGTGTCCTATAATATGAGTTGAGAAGTGAATCATATTATTAGCAATTCCAGAGGCTGCCTGATTATCAAAGAGATTTATCAAGCTGCATTAAATCACAATATGTTTCATGTATCTTCACTGGTAGCAGCACCAATATTTCTTCAAATCTGAAAAGCTATGAGATGAAAATCCATGGGAAATTATTAAAAAAATATGTTCTCAGAGATGACTAGGTATGATAGCTTAAAGCCGCATTATTCTGCTTGACACTCACAAAATAAAATATATGCATTATATAAGCAGTTTTTTTCAATCTTTTGCTGTTTTCACCACCAAATGTCCTTATTTTATATGCATTTGCACAAAACAATATATTGATCACAAACAGAACTATACTGGTGCCTGCTTTGCATAGTGTCCCCAAAAATGTAATATTAGCAGAATCAGCCCCATTCGCTGCTAGCACCAGCTTTTAGGCCCTCCGCTGTTTTTCATGGAAGATTTGTATCAATTGATTGTGGGCCAAAGCAATTTATATGCAAAACAATATCGCCGCCCCACCCAAATTCAGCTCTTGCCAGACAATTCGCATGGAAACCTATCACGGTTTCTGAATTTAAAACTTTTTTGGGCCTAACCCTCAACATGGACATTACAAAAAAGAATG